AGAAAACCAAACCAACAAAAAAAGACCTTAACTCAGATGTGTATGGCACAGGTAAGAGTGGTGCTCTCATTACTAATGGGCTGTTTGGAGAAGGTAGTTTCTCACTACACTGCTATATTTGCACAGCATTTATACTAATTTGTATGTGAATGATGATGCTTAGACATCAATGCTGATTTTCTAAATGTAGTTTAGACGTGGCACAAGGCCCAAAGTATGGGGCACCCAGTGAAGATTGAACTGTCTATTCAGTCATAAATGATCTAGTGAGACAAGGTTGCTACCCATTGCACCATGCTGAAGAGCCAAATTTGCTATGTGTAACTTAGATGTGGTACAAAGCTGAAAGTATCGAACACCAAATGAAGATTGAACCCACTACTCAGTTCTAATTGATCTAGTGAGACAAACTTGCTAATCATTACACAACATTGAAGTGCCCAAGTGATTTTCTGAGTGTAGTTTAGATGTGGCATAAGGTTGAACATGTGGAGCATCCAGTGAGGATCAAACTCACAACTCAGTCATAAATGTTCTAACAAGACAAGCTTGTTAACCATTACACCATGTTGAAGTACCCAATCATTGGTCATCAATGAATCATAAATGACCTATGGTTGCTATATTTGGATCTGTGACTATTAGTTTTTTTTATTACACTATTAACAGAGTTAAAGATATAGTAACTTAGATTTATATATACATTCACCATCATCAACAATCCATTGGGAATCAAAAGACCTTTCTCAACTCCTTCCGTAACAACTGTGACTATTCTATTTTTTCTCTTTTCTCTTCATCTTTTCTCTACCAAGTTCCAGTCAACCAACCTTTTGCTCCCTCTACTAACCTTTCTTTTTGTTATGTTAACAAAACTGGGGCTGGGTAGGGTCTTTGTTGCTTAAACCTTTCTATTATTATTTATATTGAGGCTAATGTTCATGTATTTGTTGTTTTTATTATCACAGCATTTTTGTTATTGTGTCCCCAAACCAGCCTTCTCCCAGTATCTGCTGATCTGTGTAACACACAAAGAATTTTTAACTGAACACTTTATTTAATCTATGGAGGGCTGAATGTTCTTATTCTGCTCTCTATGTCTAGGAATATCTCAATTTGTTCTAATTTAGTATTGCTCTCCCTGTTTCCTCTAAGTCTGTACTTCCAGACTCAGGAATTAAGCTCATAATTACAATGTTACCAAATTCTATGAGATCTCTTATCTTGGCTTGTTCTCTGATCCATATTGATTACTGTTTATTGCAGGCATTGAACTTCTCCCTTATCTTTGTGCATATTCGAGTTTGTTTCCAAGTGACTTTGTTGATTTTGATGTTTTGCACCCGTATAACAGGATTCTACATTCATTATACAATTTACATTTTCAGCATTGTTGGTAAGGTGCTTTTCATTATGTTTGTTACAGACAGAGGAGGAGAAACTGGAAGGTGCCGAATAATCCAACACCACCAACTCAATGCTGGAACCCAGCACCAGAAAAATGTAACTTTTTTATTATAAGTAATTTATTAAGGATTAAAACCATAATTAGTTAATTTTTAGAAATTATTTTTAATAAAGTAAATCTTAAATAAATTTATGTTTTAATAAAGTAAAAATATTCACTAATTAAGGTTTTAATGCTTAATAAACTACTTTCATATTTTTCTAATGCTGATTTGTGTCTTCCTGTTTAAGGCAGGTGATAACATTAACATAAAGGATATGAAAAATAACTAATGTATATTATACAAATATATAATCTATATATCACTATAAATTAAATGATCTATAAGTTTTTAATAAAAATAGGGATATTTTAGAAGTCATAATTGTGAAACTCCCTTCTAAGAGGTAGACAATAATAAACATGTATCAGAGAACAAACCAAGAATTTGATAACATTGTAATTATGAGCTTAATTCTGGCTCCATGCTCCAACATTAATCTGCAAAAATTTAAATGTAATGTCAATCATTATCTATTGCCCACCTGATGACTCTCTTCTCTTCCTGCTCATCATTAATGTTTCTGCTCCTAATTCTTCCACAGTAACTCTTTGTATCTTAGTGGCTTTACTACCTCACATGGGATGAAATCAATTAAAAAACAAATTGTATAAATTAGGCGTGCTGTGTTCAATTCTCACTCAATTCTATTTTTTTCACTTCATGCTAATGCCCTTGTAAAAGTCATGAGTCCATTTTCCTCCAGCTCTTGGTTAAATAGCACAGCAAACTGGATTCTCTTGCCTTAAGGTGGTAATCAGTTTAGGAGAAGGAATCCAAAAAACAGGTTGAAGAAGATTGGGTTCCATCTGGTTATCTTGCTCTAGACAAATCACTGATGTTATGGTGATAAAAAATGTGGGGTGCTTCTGCAAACTTAATGGATTATGGGACACATGGAAATACCTATCTGAAATGTAGACATACTACTGCTATGTGCTGTGTCCCTTCAAGACGTGGGTGATAATGGCTCTCCACAGTTTCCTGTCCTTTGTAGTGCTTAGTAAAGTTTATCTTTTGTCCATTTGGTTGTTTATGTACTGCTTTCCTCTGACCCGCTTGTCCAGTCAGTTTCAAATTTTAAAATCCCTCTTTCTTCATCATGTGCCCTAGAAATTGCAACTACCACTCTCTGATTCTTTTGTTTCCATTTTCCTTAAAACTTTGTTGTCACTCACATGTACAATCTGTGGAATCCTCAGCATCCTTCTGTAGAACCACATTTCTGTATCTGTGTATATTTCTGAGATGAGGTATTATGTACACTATTTACATTATTCGGACTATTGTCCTTATCTTTTTCGCCATATTTATTACAACGTTTCAGCCGTTGTATGCTCCAGCCTTGACACATGAGACAGTGGATAAAGACATTAGTTAGAATCAGTGACAGGACCCAAAGAGTTCAATACCCAGTTAAGGCAGTGGAGAACTTTCAGAGGGAAATTAACAGGAGGTAACTGATAACTGACATCCATTAAACATGGCACATGGAACTAGAACAGTCTACCCCAGTGAGCAAAATAAAGGGTTCAGTTTGATGTTCCGACCATCTGAAGAAGCATACAACGGCCGAAACATTGTAATAAACATATAGTCCAAATAATGTAAATAGTAACCATCTTTCTTTTGCCTGAAATCTTCTTTCCACCTCTGATGAGATTGTCCAGTATTCACTACCATATAAGAGTACTGATATTATGTAACAGTTAATTACTTTTTTCTTTGTTTCTAACACAAGTTTCCTCTAATACTTTACAGGAAAAATCATATATATCCCTTCAATATACCTCAAAATATTTTGTTTATAAAGCAATATGCATGAGGAAGTGCTGAAAAGTCCTTAATCCAACCAAAATGAGAATAAAGTATAGTTTCTATTTGACATAGTCCCACCCACCATAAACATACTTGATACACCATTTCTTTAACCTTTTCCTTTTAGACTTTTAATATTTGATTGTTGAATGAATGCTCCACTGCAAATATCATCTATAACATTAAAAAATTTCTTCATTTCAAAATCCATTTACGGCTTGGAAGCAAGAAGTTGTCAGCATCGATCTGTGGATGGTCTAATTGATAGTGGCTCAAAACAGAGAACATAATTTCAAATTCCAGTCATGTTTGGTACATTCACTTAAGTAAAAAGAACTTTATGAAATGAATGAATCCATCTCCTCACCCAGCTATGGGTTAAATAGTAGGACTTCCAATTATCATTATTATTTTTATTAAATTGTTACTAGAAATTGTTCACTAGAAAAAAAAATATTTTTACAATGTACAATATATTTTGGTTTTAAATAAGCCACAAAAGTTGATAATCTATGCAAAAAAAAAACAAAAAAACACAAGAAATGAAGAAGTTGCTAGAGGAAGCAAGACTTGGCAAAGTGTGGTGGATGATACATGAACTTAAATCCCAAATTCTTCAAAACATCTATTGTCTTTCCAACCCTCTGAACAGGTGTATTGGCTTGCAGAAAGAAAACATGTTTCTGCAGCTTCCGTTACTACTTTTTTCAATGCCTTCTTTAATCAGAGTAGAGTTATTCCTTCTGCAAAAACATGACCACAACCTTTCTAGTTGACTTGTGTCTTGAATTTCATAAGATTGGTGAACATAAGTGCTACTAATACTTGAACTGTTTGTTCCCAAAACTATAGTTGCACCACAATGTTTTATCAGCAATGATTTCAGAAAATTATCACAAATTTGCTGAAAATGTCACAAAATCAACTTGGATGTGTCCAACTGATATCATTTCTGTTTGGCATTCAAACATTTTGGCACCAACTTGGCTGACAGCTTCTACATACCGAACTGCTGTGAATTATAAAACCAAAAACATTCACTGGATATCTTGTGTTTCAGCAATTCTACTGGTTGGGATTTGTTGATCAGCCAAAATTAGGTCATGAACAGAAGTTGACACTATTGAAGGCTTCTCAAATTGTGCTGCATCTTGGGTTTCAAAATCTCCACATTGGAAGTTAGCATACCATTTCTTCAATGTTCAATATGATAGGTACTTGTCATCAGATATTTGCATAATACATTTATGGATTCTCTTTAGAGTTTTATTCTACACTATACAGTTCAATAATTAAAAATTCTGTAATTTCCATTGACTTGGTTCACTCATTAATTTGAGACAGATTAAAAAAAATAATGAGCAGAAAGATCTTACAAATTGTCATTTTAAGAACATTCTTTCCAGCTATAGTGATTAAATGATGCTCAGATTTTGGGGAGTGGCTTGGGCCAAAGTCTTTGAAAAATCCACTCATAAATCAAATGATTAAAACAGAAAAACCTTTGAAAAATATACCTACAAGTGATAAATATTTCATTAAAAAAAGAAGAAAGCCTTGCTAACTCTGCCAATATCACCTCCATCACATACAAACTTACATACACCACATACACATGTGTGCGCGTGTTTGTGTGTGCATATATGAATACTATTTTCACCAACATGAGGCTTAGGTCCATATCACATTGAAACACTAGTTATCATATGATCACCAAAGTTAAGCAACATTGTGCTCAGTCTGTACCTAGATCGGTGACCACTTGGGTATACCAGGTGTTGTAAGCTTAGATGTGTAAATAGTGTAATAGGTAAAGCTTGGAAATGGAAATCAAAAAGCCGAATTCCAATTCCAGTCAAGTTCATTATATTCACTTATGTGCAAATACCTTTGGGAAAGATATGCATCCTACCCAGTTATGGGTTAATTAGTAGGATAAGCATCAGTAAATCATTAGTATCACCAAAAATTCTTAAAAGATTGATAGGCCATAAAAAACCAGCATTAACATATTCATAGAAAGAGAAAATTACCAATATATATATATATATATATATATATATATATATATATACACACACAGACACATATTCTCATATTTGTACACTGATGGGCCAAAACATGACTAATTACATACAGCAAGGATGACAGCCACTGTCTCATAACAATTATACACATCAGGATCAGAGATATATAAGCTGGCCTCAAGTACTTTATTTTGCTGAGGTTAATGCTACAGTTATAGACAAGAAGAAATGTTTTAGTGGCTTCATAGTGAGAAGACAAGGTCAGGGTGTTTCTGAAACAGTTTGACTTGTGAGGTGCTCATGTTCAATTGTGGTTCAAAACTGGTTGTGGCAAAAAACCACTGACTGATAACAAGGAATTTGGTGGGTTAGGAAACTGTATTGATATGTGAAGTAAACAGATACTTTCTCACAAAGTATGAGTCAACAGAAGGACTACTGTGGTACAGTCTGTAAACAGCTTTATTCAAAGTGAAGAAAGAGATGAGACAATATATTGATCCCTGTTTGGTGCAGAGGCTGCATAGCTGTGGGTCAGTTGGAGTACCTATGCAAAATGGCCAAAAGTTTATTGTGATTGTTTCAATGAATATCTCATTCTGTTGGATAAAAGAGTTACATGTAGATTGTTACACAATTTTCATTTGAGATTTGGGTGTGAAACTGAGATGCAGTTGATGTTCTCTCATCATCAGGGGTTTGTTTTTCTTATAATAAGAGCAAACTTTGATCATCAAGAAATTGAATTCATTCAGCAAATGCATCTGTATTCTTTTCACAGGAGTCTTTGTCATTGGGATGATCAAAAAGGTGCCAAAATCATTTCATATAATTTTTGGATTTGCATATAACCTCAAAATTTTACTTCACATAGTTCAAATTTTGATTCATCACCGTTGAAGCAGAGTCTATTCCTGGATGGATAACCTGACTTCACCAATATGTATATATTTGGCATGATTTGTTATGCCTACATACAAGATAGAAAGAAATTGGATGCTAAAGGTGAAAAGGCAATTATCATAGATTGCAATAAATCAAATCCTGCTTATTTGACATATATACCTGAGACTAAGAAAGTCAAAAGATTCAGATGTGTAAAATTTATTGAAAACTAAAAATCCTACATCTGATGATTCTTGACTTTTTCTTGAAGAAAACGATGCAATACTTCCCAACTATCTGCTGAAAAATCCTTGTGGGGGAGGGGGACAAAAGAAAGCAAAATTATGTCATCATCAAATCCAAGTGATAAAACAGGAGATAATCCTAGTGCAGAAATACATGACAGATGATATCCAAACAGGTTACAACAAATGCCTGAACATTTAAAAGAATTTATATTTGTTAAGAATTTAGATTATGTAGTAAATCCAGTTATAGATTATTATTTGGTAAAGAATATACCCACAAATTATAACGAAGCTATTACTTCAAATGACTATAAAATATCGAGATGCCATTGAAAAAGAAATATCTGTCCTAAAAGTGATTAATAGATATGAATTAACACAGCTTATACCTAGTAAAACTGTTGTGGCCAGTTGATGTGTCTACACTATTAAAACAAAACTAGTAATGAACAGTTGAAAGTGAGATTCATTGCAAAAGGCTACTCACAGAAACCTGGAATAGATTATCATGAAACTTTCTCTCTCATAATTCATTGTTGGTAAGGACTTTAATGCAATTAGTGATTGAACATAATTTATTTGTCCACCAAATGGATGTAAAAATGGCATATTTAATTGCACTGACTGACTGCAATGTTTAATAACCCTGAGGGTTATTCCATTGCCAGCAAAAACAATGACAAACTTGTATATCAATTAAGGAAATTCTTATATGAACTAAAACAAAGTGGACAAAATTGGAATCAAGTCGTTCACACATATTTAAGTGGTCAAGGTTTCTCTTGAATCTTGGTAGACTCTTGTATTTACACAGAGAACACAATGCTGATTATGATTGTTTGGGTTGATGATATACTCATTCCTGCAAGTTGCAGTTCTGCATTAATTAATGTAAATGCACATTGAAATGAACAATTAAAAATGACTGTTCTTGGGAAGCTTGCTTTCTTTCTAAGTATACAATCTACATTTCAAAATAACTCTATTGAGATGTGAATCAAATATAATTGAAAAGAGAAAAGATTCTCACCAAGTTTGGAATGCAAGATTGTAAACTTTGATCAATGCCTTGTGAAATGGATATCAATCTTATGGATGAAACAATGGTGAACCAGCAGATGGAAAATATTACTGAGAGATAGTTGGCAGTCTAATATGCAATATAACTGCCACTCGTCAAGATATAAGTTACGTAGTAACAAAATTGCCACAATATTCCACAAATCCAACCTGGAATCAAGGTGCTGAATACAAGATCAATTAGTTAAGTGATAATTTGATCTGTATTAATTTTATTTATTTATTTATATATATATATATATATATATATATATATATATGTGTATATAGGGGTGTGGCTGAGTGGTTAGAACATTCGCTTTCTAACCAGGTTCAAATCTCACCACAGTTGATTTATCAGGAAGGAAACTTCCTGATGTTATTGGTCTAGAGAGGGCGATCCCAATGTGTGGTGCCTTTGGAAAACCATACCATGGGTGAAATTGTGCAAACGAAACCCTTGGGGGTCATCAATAGCTGTGCTAGCACAAAGTCACAATTCATCATAACTGAGTGTTTGAGTGTACTGGCTTTGTTCAGATTGTTCATTATGCTAGATAACACGCTCTCTCCCAGAAACTGTAACTAAGGTCTGCTCAGCATAGTTGCAGTATAAACCCCAGGTGGGCTCTGTGGGTGTTGGGAAAGCACAAATGTGCTTGAGAGAACGTCTGCAATAGGGATTGGCTAGCCACCCTAACAGACAGATATTCTCAAATATGAGTGGGCAGCTATTATATGTATGTACTAGCAGTAGAGCCCGGTGTTGCCCGGAGATGTAACAGTAAGAGATAGATCAAGTATCCACCATCATAAAGACTGAAAAATAAAATTGACAAAGATTATTGTTTAAGGTTGATGGACATTCATGTCGTGATTAATTTTTTTTTTTTTTTTACGAATTGGTCAAACCCAAACTCAAACAAAAACATTGTTTTCAATCGTTATGAGTCTACCGATTGAATAGAATTTTATTATAAACAATTGTCTTGTAAATGGAATTTTTAAAGCATTCTGAATGTAAAAATAAAGAAAAAAGTGTGCAAGACAATAAGAAACACTACCTGCCAAAAAAAAAAGTGAAGTTTTGTTGAAATCGGTTGAAAAATGTAGGAAATCCGATGCCATATATAAACGAACGCACACATACACAAACAACCTGGGTTTTATAATAAGTATAACTCGATATGAGTTGTCCCCCTTTCATTCTGTGAAAGCGATGCCTCTTGATCGTGTTTTCAAATTGATTTCGTGCAAAAACAATTTTGTTTTTCCAATTTTTGGTGCTGTCAGAACCACTGCAAGGTAATTTTACATAGTCCTGTGAAGTTTTGTCGAAATCGGTTGAAAAATGTAGGAAATCCGATCCAATAAATAAACGTACAGACACACACACACACACAATCTGCGTTTTATAATAAGTAAGATGTATGTATGCATTTTAGGGTGAGTAATAAATAGTTTATATTTTTGTTTATCCGCTTCATTGTTCAAAAAATAAAGTCCAATTATATTCTATTCAATTATATATTCATCGTTATTTGGAATGACTTGCTGCTAGTTATCAAGCAGCTCTCCGTGTCTTGGGTATGACATTAAACTACATATGAGTCCTGGGTAAGATGATAAAATACATCTAACAGAAAGGCCTCTGATCAGGAGGTTTTGAGGAGCATGGAACCACTTCTTAATTGCTGGTGTTCCCAGGTCCACCCTGACCCAAGGTGGTAGCACATGTTAGGGTCCTAGCTATGGGCACATAGGTAACCCTAAACTGGGGTCAAAACACTATGAAAGTGTAAAAATAGGTTTTAGTATCAGCAATACATTTTTGTAAAATAATCATTACCAGCAATTAATTTTTGAAAGAAAAAATATTACCAGCAATACATTTTTTGAAGGAAGAAAAATATTACGAGCAATAAAAATCTTGCTGGCATTAAATAACCCTTTTAGGTATTGATATGCCTTAAAATAAAACAAACAAACCAAACAGCTCTACAATACCTTCTTAAAATAAAAACTGGGTGTCGATTTGAAACATGGCTTCCACTAAAAATAATTTTTGAAGTAATAAAAATATATATGTATGTATTTATGTGTGTGTGTGTGTATGTGTGTGAGAGAGTGTAATGGGGTGCATATTATTACCTGCTGCATGGATTTATGTTCCTTATGCTCTTTGACAGGTAAGATAATTATGGGGAAGTAATTTGTCTTAGTAGTAATTCCAAAAATTTCCTGTTTCTTAATACTGCATTTTTTTAAAGCATCTTTTGCTATTCAAATATGCTTTCAGATTTCTGTGCAATATTTTCCATTTCTTAATACTTTGCTTAGTTTTTGGAAGGCCTCTTTGCAATATCAATGCTCCTGCAGATATCCATGTCACATTTTCTAACTGCTGTTAAAAAAATTTCTCAGATTATATAAACTTGTGTCTTTGTTTTATTTTGACATCTCCAATTCACAGTTTTCAGCTATGGGTTTTATCTTGCTGACCACCATACATTCTGTCTCATTACAATTGATTATTAGTCCTTTCTTCCTTCTTTCCTTCAGTCAG